AACCATTGGAGCTTGTAAGCATTTCAGGAATGCCGTTCTGTGGAGCAGGTGAGAACAGATCTCCGTTAGCCCCTCCCACATCACCCTTGGCCCTGCCGCTGGGTAAAAATGGCAACGGCAGAGTTATGACCTTTGGAAAATAAACTAGGTTGGCAGGTGCTATTGGCCATATCTTTTCCCATCTGTAGACCGCATTTTTACAGCTGACGCACGGGATCAGCTGTAAACGAGTCGGGATCAGGGTGTGGCTGGGACTGGATGATGAGATCACCGACTCCCCGAGGTGTACGGTTGGCAAGTAGCAACAGATTTAGGGGCGTGATGCTGGTTCCGTGGCAGGAACAACTGAAGTTGAAGAATGGAAATGCTGGCATGAGTTGCATAAATTTAATAGGAGTTGTTCTGCAGTATTTTCCTCCACAGGATCACTTTTGAACCTTGTTTTGCCTTTCAGCGTAGGGTGGCGTCAGATGTGATATAGAAAGACGACCTTATGAGCAGCCTCTGTGACCCACTTAGAGAGAGGTTGCCATAACAGCTGACCCTGCGTGTGTGTGGTCATGGATGAGTGTGTGTGTGTGTACTTCTGCACTAATGGAAGAAGACCCTGAGGGGAGGGATGGCTAAGGCTGATCGCCCTCCAAAACCACCTGACACACTCCTGCTGAAGGCCGTCAAGTCTCATTATCCTCAGACTGAATAAACAGAGAAATGAAAACTAACAGCAGTTGAAAGGGTAACTTACTCACCGTAATTTTGTTGCTTTTTATTAAATTCTGCGAAATGTCTGAAGGTGACGATGAGCCCGTCTGCGTTGCTGCTGAGTGCTTTATTAGTTTTATCGGTGCAGACGTCTAAGCATGATGTCATTCATTGATTTTTTTTTTTTTTCCTTTACTGCTCTGCCGTGGCCACTAATCTTCCAGAGCGATGCCGCTGTCGATCTAAACATCAGGATTAATGCTCAGACCTGAGAGGCTGCAATGTCTGGTGGCTGATTGCAGCTTAACGTGCAGGAGGCTAAACCACAGACGTTGATGCTCTGAGCAAACAGCGTTACATTACAGCCCACGACAGCAGGACAGCCCTCCGTTTCTTTCCTGTTCTCAAGACACAAAGTTTTAAAACTTTTCTATACCTCTACATACAGTCCCTTGCACTCTTTATTTTTTCAGGTTTCTGTGAGAAACTGCATTGCATTTTATTGGGATTTTATGTAACTAACCAACACAGTATTGTTGTGGAAGGAAAATGATACATAATTAAATTTTTTTAAAAATCAGAATCTGTAAAATATGACATGTTTGTATCTTGATGGAGCTTAATCCAATAACATCCTACAGAATATTTGGTTGAGGTTGACGACAGCAATGTTAAGTATAAAGTTACATT